ATTAGTGTGGGGGAAGAAACAGGTGAATATTAAGAAGTGGAGGCTGGATGTGGTGACTTACACCTATAATCCCAGCACTTTGGGAGGCTCAGGTGGGAGGACTGCTCAAGCCTGGGAGCTCGAGACTAGCCTGGGCAACATGGCCAGACCCTGTCTCTACAAAAAAAACAAAACAAGTTAGTCAGGTGTGGTGGCGTTATGCTTGTGTGCCTTGCTATTCAGGAAGCTGAGGTGGGAAAATTGCTTGAGCCCAGGAGGTTGAGACTGCAGTGAGCCTTGATCACACCAGCCCGGGCAACAGAGGGAGACCCCGTCTCAAAAAAAAAAAAAAAAAAAAAAAAAAAAAAAAAAAAAAGGGCAGGGAGCAAGGTAAAAGCATCTAATGCAACATTGACTTACACAAAAGCTATATTATTAGGTTAGTGCAAAAGTTGTTGCAGTTTTGCTATTAAAAGTAACTTTTGTACCAACCTAATAGAAACAACCACGATGGCTGGGAATAGTGGTGTGCACCTGTATGTAGTCCCAGTTACTCAGGAGGCTGAGGCACAGGATCGCCCGAGCACGGTAACTCAAGCCTGCAGTGAACTGTGATTGGGCCACTACATTCCAGTCTGGGCAACAGAGTGAGACCTTGTCTTTAAAAGCAAAAAACAAACCAAAATCATGAATGGTGCCTGATGACTGATGCTGTTTGGATTGACGGGATGTGTCTTAGCAGGGTGAGAGTAGAGAGAAAGAGATCTCTCTCCCAAAATACTCATCTTTGGTTGAAGAATAGGCTGACAAGAAGAAAATCTGTAAGGAAAAAAAAAAGTTAGATAAACATCAAGTTAGAAGAAAATACTGACTAACAACCAGATGATAATTTTAAACTTCAAGAGTGAAAGTACGGCCGGGCGCGGTGGCTCAAGCCTGTAATCCCAGCACTTTGGGAGGCTGAGGCGGGTGGATCATGAGGTCAGGAGATCGAGACTATCCTGGCTAACATGGTGAAACCCCGTCTCTACTAAAAATACAAAAAACTAGCCGGGCGAGGTGGCGGGCGCCTGTAGTCCCAACTACTTGGGAGGCTGAGGCGGGAGAATGGCGTGAACCCGGGAGGCGGAGCTTGCAGTGAGCCGAGATCACACCACTGCACTCCAGCCTGGGAGACACAGCGAGACTCCGTCTCAAAAAAAAAAAAAAAAAAAAAAAAAGAGTGAAAGTAAAGTTAATGTAGCTTTTTAATATAGTTGCTGAAAAACCAATATAATAGAACTTTATATGGATGTGTGTATACCTGTGTGTTGGAGGAATGACATATATTAAGAATCCTTAGTATCAGAGATACAGGCAATTATGGAACAACTCTAGGAGAAAACATTCCGGACAAGTGGGAATGGAGAAATTGTGGCCTATGGGTAAAATAGCATGCTTTTAGGAAGCAAACAGAACAGTTACTGCTGGCCAGTTTTCTTAATCTACCTGCCTACCCTTTAGTTCCACACATTGCCATTTACACATTCTTTCAGAAATTCCACAATACAGATGCTTAAACAGTCTCAAGGAAGTGAGCACATATTCAAAACCTGGTGTCCTGTTATCTCAGTTTACATACAAATATGGGTAGGAAGTGACGTATGGAGCAGGTGTCTATCATTTCAGGGAAATGAAAGTCCGTGTGAAGCAGCTGTGATGGGTATATTCATACTATTTGAAAAACATTTTGAGTTTTCTGTAGTGTAAACCTATTTCAATGGAAAAATACTGATTAGATTCACACCTGTCTTAGAACATTCTTCAGAGTAGATGGAAGCTGATCTGGAAGAGTTTGGGGAGCTAAGTTTAGATCCATATATTTGACTATCTCTGAAAAGCTCCTATTGAAAAGAGTTTAGCATCTTACCTCTCTGTCAGTGTCTCTGTGTCATTTATTGCCAGTTTTATTCAATGCAAAGCCTGCTCCAGTTTGATAAGCAGAGATTGTAATGGTGAGCGAGGCCAGATGTGTGTTTAGCCGGGAGCTCATAGCTACCGCAAAAATGGTAACAAGTTTAGTTGCAACACTTTCCTGGAACATGGTACTCAGAAATAAGCAGACACCAGACGCTGATAAGGTTGTCATGGAGAACTACATTCCAGTCTTCAGAAATCTATTTCTGCCAAGAAGGGTGGATTCAAATCCTACTGGCTTCCTGAATTTCCACATGTACTTCTTTTCCTCATATGCCAGGAGATACCGGCCCAGGAAAAATGAATTACTAAAATGCCACGAAGCTGTATGTGCTGTCCTTATGATTTCACTACAAAGAACATGATAATCATTTTCTTAAAAATATGCACCAATAGGAAAAGATCAATTAAAACACCAAGAGGGAATTTCCCATCATGTCTTCTGCACCGCGGAAACTGATGATTCCATCTTTTACTGCTCTGCCCTCACTCTACTGTGCCATGATCAAATTTTGCTGGAAAAAGCCTTTCTTATAATTATGGGGGGAATTTTTTTTCTTAAAAGCAAAAATTTTTAAGAACAGTTTATATTTTTCTTTAAAAAATAGATCCTCTCTAAAACACTAGGAAAGGAGAAAAAATTACCATAGTTTTATAATAATAGTCTTTTTTGTTGGTTTTTTTTTCCCTAGTGATTCTACCTTGCTTTTATTTATTTTTTTGTTCTTTTTTTTAACAAATAAATTTTATTTTGTATATGTGAGGTTTACAACATTATGTTATGGGAACTATAGAAATAATAAAATAGTTACTATAGTGAAGTAGATTAACATAGCAATCACTTCATGTAGTTACTTTTATAAGCTTTTTTGTTAAATTTATTTAACAAAATCTCTAATACAGTTTTATCAGCTATAATTCTCATGTTGCACATCTGTAGATGTCTAGACTTGCTCACTCTACATATCTGCTACTTTGTATCCTTTGCCCTGTATCTCCCTATTTCTCCCCTCTCCCACACCCCACTGTTCTCTATCTCTGTATACAGTCGAGCATCAATAATGATGTTTTAGTCAACAACAGACTGCTTATATGACAGTGGTCCCATAAGATAATAATGGAGCTGGACATTTTCCATAGTCTAGTGATGTTATAGCAGTCACAATGCATTCATTACTCAAGTGTTTGTGGTGACGCTGGTGTAAACAAACTTACTGTGCTGCCAGTCATGTAAAAGCATAACACATTCAATTATGTGTCACACATAATAATAATGATAACAAATGACTGTTACTGGTTATGTGTTTACTGTATTATATATTTTTATTGCTAGTTTAAAATGTACTCCTACGTATTCAAAAAAAGTTAACTGTAAAGCAGCCTCAGCCAGGTCTTTCAGGAGGTATTCCAGAAGAAGGCATTGGCATCACAGGAGATGACAGCTCCACGAGTGTTACTGTCCCTGAAGGCCTTCCAGTGGGACAAGATGTGGAGGTGGAAGACCATGATATTCATGATCCTGACCCTGTGTAGGCCTAGGCTAATGGGTGGGTCTGTGTCTTCTTCTTTTTTTTTTTTTATACTTTAAGTTCTAGGGTACATGTGCACAACGTGCAGGTTTGTTACATGTGTATACATGTGCCATGTTGGTGTGCTGCACCCATTAACTCGTCATTTACATTAGGTATATATCCTAATGCTATCCCTCCCCCCGCTCCATCCCCACAATAGGACCCGGTGTGTGATGATCCCCTTCCTGTATCCAAGTGATCTCATTGTTCAATTCCCACCTATGAGTGAGAACATGCAGTGTTTGGTTTTCTGTTCTTGCGATAGTTTGCTGAGAATGATGGTTTCCAGCTGCATCCATGTCCCTACAAAGGACACGAACTCATCCTTTTTTATGGCTGCATAGTATTCCATGGTGTATATGTGCCACATTTTCTTAATCCAGTCTGTCACTGATGGACATTTGGGTTGATTCCAAGTCTTTGCTATTGTGAACAGTACCGTAATAAACATACGTGTGCATGTGTCTTTATAGCAGCATGACTTATAACCCTTTGGGTATATCCCCAGTAATGGGATGGCTGGGTCAAATGGTATTTCTAGTTCTCGATCCTTGAGGAATCGCCACACTGTTTTCCACAATGGTTGAACTAGTTTACAGTCCCACCAACAGTGTAAAAGTGTTCTTATTTCTTCACATCCTCTCCAGCACTTGATTTTTTTAATGATTGCCATTCTAACTGGTGTGAGATGGTATCTCATTGTGGTTTTGATTTGCATTTCTCTGATGGCCAGTGATGATGAGCATTTTTTTTAATGTGTCTGTTGGCTGTATGCATGTCTTCTTTTGAGAAGTGTCTGTTCATATCCTTTGCCCACTTTTTGATGGGTTTGTTTGTTTTTTTCTTGTAAATTTGATTGAGTTCTTCATAGGTTCTGGATATTAGCCCTTTGTGAGATGTGTAGATTGTGAAAATTTTCTCCCATTCTGTAGGTTACCTATTCACTCTGATGGTAGGTTCTTTTGCTGTGCAGAAGCTCTTTAGTTTAACGAGATCCCATTTGTCAATTTTGGCTTTTGTTGCCATTGCTTTTGGTGTTTTAGACATGAAGTCCTTGCCCATGCCTATGACCTGAATGGTATTACCTAGGTTTTCTTCTAGCGTTTTTATGGTTTTAGGTCTAACATTTAAGTCTCTAATCCATCTTGAATTAATTTTCGTATAAGGAGTAAGGAAAGGATCCAGTTTCAGCTTTCTACTTATGGCTAGCCAATTTTCCCAGCACCATTTATTAAATAGGGAATCCTTTCCCCATTTCTTGTTTTTGTCAGGTTTGTCAAAGATCAGACGGCTGTAGATGTGTGGTATTATTTCTTTTAAAGTCATCATATAGGCAGGGCATGATGGCTCACACCTTTAATCCCAGTACTTTGGGAGGCCGAGGTGGGTGAATCACCTGAGGTCAGGAGCTCGAGACCAGCCTGGCTAACATGGTGAAACCCTGTCTGTCTCTACTAAAAATACAAAGATTAGCTGGGCATGGTGGTGGGTGCCTGTAATCGCAGCTACTCGGGAGGCTGAGGCAGGAGAATTACTTGAGCCCAGGAGGTGGAGGTTGCAGTGATCCAAGACCGCGCCACGGTACTCCAGCTGGGTTGATAAGCAAAACTCTGTTTCAAAAAAATAAATAAATTAATTAATTAACTAAAATAAAGTCATCATATAAATCATTTTATATGTTATTACATATTCTTAGTAAGAATTGCTTACTATATTCCCTGTCAGCTGCTACAGTGTAATCACTAATTTGCTACTGTTCAATATTTATTTTCTTCTCCATTCTTATTATTATTACTATGATAAACATAATTGTGAATAAAGCACTTTTCATACATAGGATTATTTCTTTAGGTTATATTCCATATGTCCACATTGCCATTAAAATGGTTGTACAAAATACAAGATTGGTTGTTTGACTAGTAGCATTGGTTACAACAATTAAAAACCTATTTTGCTAATCTAATGCATGAGAAATGATATCTCACTATTATACCTTTTTTGCCTATAACCAACCTTTGCCTATAGTATTTGTTGCAAACTATTCCCACTTTGTTGTTTTACTTTCATTTGAATTTTTTATTACATTTTAAAAATAGAAGTAAAATGTACATATATAATTTACCATCTTTAGCATTTAAAGTATGCAGTTCAGCGGTAGTAAATACATTTATATTCCTTTTTGTTTCCTTCACTTGCCTTTCCCCTTCCCTTACTGGTGTTAGAATTTTTACATAAAATTTAAAGTTGTAAGAATTAAACTGACTTGATAATTTGCTCTATGTTTTTATATTAATGCATATGTATTTCTAAGCAGAGATATGCCTTGTTCTTAAGATGGCAAATATTCAATTCCCTTTATTTTGGTGAATTTTGAATTCAGGTGAATACATTAAGTCATTAAATATAAAATTAAATAATTAATTTATTTTTGAGACAAGGTCTGTGTCACCCAGGCTGGAGTGCAGTGGCACCATCATGTGTCTCACTGAAGCCTCAAACTCCTGATCTAAAAAGATCTTCCTGTCTCAGCCTCTGAGTAACTGGGACTATGGGTGTAGTTTTTAAAATTTTTTAAATTAAATTTTTTTTGAAAGATGGGGTCTGGCTGTGTTGTCCAGACTGGTCTCAAACTCCTGACCACAAGTGATCCTTCCACCTTGGCCTCCCAAAGTGCTGGGATTACAGGCGTGAATCACTGCATCTGGCCCTGGATTTATTTTTAAGATATGTGATAGCTTAAAACTGCTAAACTAGTATCCTCCATATAAGTAAATAACATCATTTCTTGCATAATTTTATGCTTTCCCATTGATTTCTGATGTTTTCTTTTTTATATGTTGAGTTCTTACATATAATCAGGACTGTAGACTGTGGTACTGTGCCTATAGGCGCAAAAAACAGGTACAAAACAGCTTCCTCCACGTCTAGGCGTTCACTCTGAAACAAAAAGTACAGCACAGAGATCTTGCCTTAAACAAATTGATGCTAATTAGTTGGGTAATCAGGATGTATACATCTGAAATAATGCACTAAAGTAGACCCACATTACTGCATCTCAAACTAGATTCATAAATGAGAGAAAACAAAGGTAAACTTGGGGGAACCACAGGCGTGAGAAAAAGGACTCCAGAAAGTTTCCCTGGGTTTATCCTCCCTGGTTTTGCCCAACTAAAGCATTATGTTTTCCCAAAAATCAGGAACCACAAGCACGACAGCACTCTCTGGTGTTAGATGGCAGTTTTCTCTGTGGGTTTTATCTGCTACCTTCCTTGAAGAGATAAAAAGCTGTCAGCTTGTGGAAGGCAGAGTTCTCATGTGACAATTGTGGGTGGTTTTATAGCACCAGGCTGGAAATTTAGCCATTCTGTTTCTTTTGTTTCAAAATTTGCTTTTCCCTGTTGTCTGAAATGTGTCTGTTAAAAACATTGATTGCTTTCTCTTAAGCATATTTTTTTAAAAAATTCAAATTCCTTGAAAGAGAAAAATTTAATAATTATCAAGCATTTTGGCCTGGCTCAGTGGCTCATGCTTGTAATCCTAGCACTTTGGGAGGCAGAGGCGGGTAGCTCACTTGAGGCCAGGAGTGCGAGACCAGCCTGACCAACATGTGAAACCCCGTCTCTACTAAAAATACAAAAAATAGCTGGGTATGGTGGTGGGTGCCTGTAATACCAGCTATTCCAGAGGCTGAGGCAGGTGAATCACTTTAACCTGGGAGGTGTAGGTTGCCGTGAGCCGAGATGGCACCACTACCCTCCAGCCTGGGCGACAGAGCGAGACTCATCTTAAAAAAAGCACACAAAAAACCCCAAAAAGCAACAAAAACAAAAGAATTCACTACTATTGATGGAAGGGATTGATCTGTAAATGACAGAGCTGGTGGCCCAGAGGCTCTGGAGACAGCTCTGGTGTGGGTTCAGTCACTGGCATGTCTTATTGCACAGACAGCAACACCTCCGATGCTTGGTTTTATTTATTTATTTATTTATTTATTTATTTATTTATTTATTTATTTATTTTGAGATGGAGTCTCGCTCTGTCACCCAGGCTGGAGTGCAGTGGCCGGATCTCGGCTCACTGCAAGCTCCGCCTCCTGGGTTCACGCCATTCTCCTGCCTCAGCCTCCTGAGTAGCTGGGACTACAGGCGCCTGCCACCTCGCCCAGCTAATTTTTTGTTTTTTTGTTTTTTTGTTTTTTTGAGACAGAGTCTCGCTCTGTCGCCCAGGCTGGAGTGCAGTGGCCAAATCTCAGCTCACTGCAAGCTCCGCCTGCCGGGTTCACGCCATTCTCCTGCCTCAGCCTCCTGAGTAGCTGGGACTACAGGCGTGCACCACCATGCCTGGCTAATTTTTGTATTTTTTGTGGAGATGGGGTTTCGCCATGCTGCCCAGGTTGGTCTCCTGGGCTCAAGCAATCCACCTACTTTGGTCTCCCAAAGAATTGGAATTACAGGTGTGGGCCACAGCACCTGGCTCATTTTTATCTGAAAACTCCCCATTCTTTTCTGTTATAGAGACTGGGCCATTTTCTCTTTTCTTCAATATTTTGATGATTCTCAGTTCTAACTGATCACAGTTCTTAGAACCAAATGGTATCAGCTGTATCAGTTCTTCATAAAATACTTCTAATTGCAACATCTCTCCTCTTTTTCATTTCCAAGCCCTTATAGAATTGTGACATTAGGGTCAGATCAAGCCATAAGTGATTCAGCAGCAAGTAGTGTAAATACTTCTAAGAGCTGTGACCCTCAAATAGGTCAGAAGAATATTTTAATGGGATGTTAAGTTGGGAGTTTCAGTGGAGGCATGGAAATACCATCAATAACACCAAGATGCAAATTTTGAAAGAAAATATTTGACCACAAGGGATACAATGCTTAAAAGTCTTTCTCCCAGACCAAGGATATAAAACAGTTGCGCTGTTGGAGATGTGAGTGTTTTGGAATGAGCTACTGCTCTGTTGGGTCCCACACCGTACATACCCAGTGCAGGACAGAAGAATGTGTGCACGCATGTGTGCGTGCGTGTGTGTGTGTGTGTTAGTCATGGGGAGGGAAATCTTTGACTCTCAGAGCTAATCTAGCGAGAAGAACTTCAAAGGCACCACTTGGAAAGCTTATATTTGTCTCCTGCAGGTAGGGAAACACAGTAGATTAATATCAAATTCTGGCTTTGGAAACAGACTGGGTAAGGGTCAAAAGATGCGTCAGACAATATTTTTGAGATGAATGTCAGACTTTTTGTGCCTGGAGATTGGCCTGCAATTCCAGAGTTTTCCCAGGCTAAGATTGTTTCTTCTGGGCTACATCTTCAAAAGAGATCTGGTTTGGGATAATTCCTAAATTCCTGTCCACTAGACAACACTCTGAGAGTGATCAAAACTAACACCATCAACAAAGAGCAGGTATAGATATACATCGTGTGCCTAAGGTGAGGGTGCCCTGGGAAGAACACATAATCATTTTTGTAGTATTCTGGCTAGAAATGCTTAACCTAATTGTGAAATACAAGACAAATCCAATTATGGAACAGCCTATAAGTAAATGGCTTGTATTCTTTTTTCTCTTTTCTCTTCCCTCCCTCCCTCCCTCCCTTCCTTCCTTCCTTCCTTCCTTCCTTCCTTCCTTCCTTCCTCCCTCCCTCCCTTCCTTCCTTCCTTTTTTCTTTCTCTCTCTCTCTCTCTCTCTCTCCTTTCTTTCTTTTTGAGACAGTCTTGCACTGTCACTCAGGCTGGAGTGCAGTGGCACGATCTCGGCTCACTGCAACCTCCACCTCCCAGGTTCAAGCAATTCTCCTGCCTCAGTCTCTTGAGTAGCTGGGACTACAGGCACCCGCCACCACACCCAGCTAATTTTTGTATATTTAGTAGAGACGGGGAGTCACCATGTTGGCCAGGATGATCTCGAACTCCTGACCTCCAGTGATCTGCCTGCCTCGACTTCCCAAAGTGATGGGATTACAGGCGTGAGCCACTGTACCTAGCCAAATGGCTTGTATTCTTAAAAAATGTCAATGTCACTGAAGCAAAGTGTGGCTAAAGAATTGTTACAGATTGAAAGAGACAAAAAAGACATGAAAACTGAATGCTCTATGTGATTCTAAATAGCATTCTGAACTGGAAAAAAAATGATGTAAAAGACACCATTGGGACAGTGGTATATCAGAGTTAAATTTCCTGAACTTGATGGTTGTTCTTTGCTATATATTTGTTCTTAGGTATACATGAAGTGTTAAAAGGCGACAGGGCATGATGTATGCAACCTACACTCAAATGGTTCTGAAAATAAATTGCATGCGTACGTGTGTAAAGGCAGTGATAAAACAAACGTGGCAAATTATAAAAATTACTGAATTTAGGTCACAGTTAGGTATTCTTGTAACTTTTCTGTAAATTGGGGGTTATTTATGTAAGTTTGAGGTTCTTTCAAAATAAAAATTAAAAACAAACCATTTTCTTAGCCACTAGCGAGGGTTTGTTTCAGCTTCCTCTCCCCAACCCCTGCCCACATACAATCACCCGCTTCAGGAATGTTAGTAAGTCCCCCTGCAAGACCAGCTAAATCAGAATCTCAGGAGATAAGGCCCAGGGATTTGTGTTTTAACAAGTTCTCCAGATGGTTCTTAGGTGTACTAAAGCTTGAGAAGCACTTGTTTAGACTAGTTAAGAACCATGCTTGGAGTAGGGGGTGGGGTTAACCCCATTGGGCTGTTACACTATGGGGGAAAGGTGGCTGGGTATAGGGGAAATGGCCACAGGATCTGCCTCACAGGAGTGTTAAGATGATAGTGGCTGAGATGGTTACATTCTCCCCTATCCCGTCCACCTTTTTCCTTTTAGCTTTGACCCAGAGGCCTTAAGGACACATTTTTAGTCCAACATTTCACAACAGGAGATATACATGACTAATGTATATTTATTAGAGAGCAAATTCACAAAACTCTCCACACTGAATACAAATTGATTATGGTGAATTAGCAGAGTTGTCCATTTTTGGTCTAGTGAGGAGTAGTAGAGATTTCCCCTTGTCTAATTAGAGGATATTTCAGAAGGAAATTTGTAAAGAGTGGTAGTGCCTACAAGAACCTGGCCTGGGATGTTCTAATTGGAAGTCATTTGGTATGTCAGATTTGTTGATCTGTCTGAGTAGGGAAAAAGGAATTGGAGATTGATAGAAAGATTGATGGAATGAGGGGGATCAGTGGAACAGTTTACACGCCCAGTCTCTGGCATGGTAAGGATGCCTGTATCCAGAACTACCTACATAAATTTTCATGGCTCAGTGCAAAATAAAATTGTGGGGCCTCTTATTAAAAAATAATCAAGAATTTCAGGATGACACCAACAAAACATCAAACCAATCACCGGGCTCTGTGCTATTGCATGGGTTGCAACACCATGAAGCAGACCCTGCCTAAATCTCTTATGGTCAAAAGGAGGCCAGACTTGCTAGAACCCTCCCAAGAGGTTGGTTGGCCTGTGGATGATAGTGTCGGGGTGGAGCTGAAGGGTTGAGAAGTCAGGCTGGGGCAAGCTCTCCCACTTCGAAGAACTGTGCACTGCGAGGTCTTTCAGAGCTTTTAAAATCTTCACCCACATGCCCAGCATAGAACTGCCATTTGACAACCACCTGACAAGAAGGCCCCTGCAACCAGTCAGAGTTTACTAGATGAGCAGTGGAGTCCTGAGGACTGAAATTGCAAACCAGGTCAGAATGATACGTTTGCTCATTTCATCCTGATCCTGCGTTCCCTTCCCAACACCCAAGTAGCTCAAATGTGAAGATGTATGGGAAGGAGTAAGAGAGCAGACCACATCCCTCCCTGATGCTGGCCTATTGATCTAAGGAAGTCTGGAGTGTGTGTGTGTGTGTGTGTGTGTGTGTATGTTTTGAGACGGTCTCGCTCTGTCACTCAGGCTGGAGTGCAGTGGCGTGATCTCAGCTCACTGCGACCTCCACCTCTTGGGTTAAAGCGATTCTCATGCCTCAGCCTCCAGAGTAGCTGGGATTACAGGCATGTACCACTACGCTCTGCTAATTTTTGTATTTTTAGTAGAGATGGGGTTTCACCATGTTGGCCAGGCTGGTCTTGAACTCCCTACCTCAGGTGATCTGCCCACCTCGGCCTCCCAAAGTGCTGGGATTACAGGTGTGACCCATCGCACCCGGCCATGTGTGTGTATTTTTAATAACTGAAAATAACAATGACTCTAAATCTAAGGGCTCTCCTTGAAATACTATTAAAAGACAGAACATATAGATTTGATAGAACATTTCCCTTTGTTGAAAGGGAATGATTTAAAACCCCGTATTTTATTTGCACCTCATGAAGCAGACTGCTCAATAAACCAGTTACTATTAAAAATTATATTTAGGCCAGGCACGGTGGCTCACGTCTGTAATCCCAGCACTTTGGGAGGCTGAGGTGGGCAGATCACCTGAGGTCAGGAGTTCCAGGCCGGCCTGGCCAACATGGTGAAAACCCATCTCTACTAAAAATACAAAAATTAGCCAGGCATGGTGGCGGGCGCCTGTAATCCCAGCTACTTGGGAGCCTGAGGCAGGAGAATTGCTTGAACCCAGGAGGTGGAGGTAGAAGTGAGCCAAGATTGTGCCACTGCACTCCAGCCTCGGCAACAAAGAGCGAAACTCTTTCTCAAAAAAAGAGATTATATTTATTACAATGCAGGGAGTAAGAAAAGGAATTCACAAAACACTCAGTTGACAGATAATAGATTGCAAACCCTTTCACTTCTAGTATTGATCTGAGGATATCCAAATGAACACTGAATGTAAATTACCCTGAGAACATCTCCGCTAGAAGAACTGGTTACTGAAACCTTATTTTTAATATAGGCAATCCTTTGGGAGTAAACATTTCAAATATTACACTGTGCTCTATTTATTATCTCTCCCTATGGGTTTTTTAGGGCATGATAACTTGGGCTTTTGCTAAAGTGACTCATAGTCTCAGCACAGGAGACTTTTTGAATATCATTTGGTGGACTATTCTCATCATCTAAAGTAATAAAAATATTTAAGCATTCAAAAATTCTACATTAGTTATTTCATTTATCTATTAAATATTTATTGAAGTCATAAATGGGTACTGCTAGGCCCCATGAGGGATAAAACATGAATTAGACACTGTTCTCATTTTCAGGATGTTTCTAGTTTGGTAAGACTCAAGATGTACAGATATAACAAGAAGGCAAGGTGGAAAGTGTTGAGAGGTACCTTTAAAGGGATGTGCCCTTAGACCAGGCAACTGAGTTCCTGACCTGGGCTCTGAGTTTTACAGGATCTTCTTCTGGATTAAGGGGACATGCTCACCAGGAGCCTGAACCTCCTCCTCCTTCTAAACTGTGTTCTGAGTGTCCAAGATCCCAGAATCTCATGCATAAATTCATTTTCTCAAGTGTAGAGACAGAACCTGGAAACGTGGGCCAACTCTCTCGACACTACACCACCTTGTACAGTTTATTAGCCAGTTAGCAACCGTTAATATTTAGATTATGTAATAAGGGCCTCTGATACTCTTGGCATGGAAACCCACGAATGTTAGGTGGCAAGTTGGCCTGGCTATGGGAATTCAGGAGGACGTAGAACTGTGCCTTGGCAGTATATGGGACGTTCCACTGGGGAAGTAGAGCTTGGGCATGCAGAGGTGGGAGAAGGGAGAAGAGGGACCTCTGGCAGAGGGAACATCACACTCAAAGACATGGAGACTAAAAGTGCCAGGTTACATGTGGGAAGTCTGGCTTTCCTGGATACCAGGAATGGAAGGGCAGAAACTCAGGTTGTAAAAGGAGAAGGAGACCAGATCATGGATGGTGTGGAATATAGGACATGGTGAGAGAGGGTTTGGCAAACTGTCTCATATTCTCAGCACAGGAGAATCTATTTAGAGTGACTGGGGTTCACATCTAACACTCACATCAGCAGGTAGGCCTTACTGTAGACAATAAGCTGTCATTGGAGGTTTGAGCAGTTTTGAAGAGATCAACTTTATAAGTATAAAGCTCTGGCTTGCTATGGAATAGCACATGGGAGAGACTGGAAGGGTAGAAACAGGCAACTGTGTAGAAGAGAGTAATGATATAGGGGAAGGTGAAAAAGAGACATATTTGAGATAATAGAAAAGAAGAACTAGGTAGAAAAAGAAACAAAAAGTGATCACAAGACTTTATATGAATCCCTTGGCCATCCCTTAGGCCACCCCTGTGTGGCCAGCTAACTATCTTTGCCATGCCAACACAGAAGAGTGACAAGCTCCAGTCCCCAGACTATGTTGGATGCCTCTGTGGGTGTTGAGTGGTGGGGGGTGGGGACAGGGTGAAGAGGAAGGAAGACATTGGATTTGGGTACATGGTTTGAAGTTTGCACCTGTTCAGTAGCATAAACAACCACTACTCGTTTTGTATGTGTTGTCTGCAGATAGTTTGTGACTTGAAACAAAGATCATTCACGATTTCGATCAATAATTTGGGTACATGGTTTGAAGTTTGCACCTGTTCATTAGCATAAACAACCACTACTCATTTTGTTTTGTTTTTTGAGATGAAGTTTCGCTCGTTGCCCAGGCTGGAATGCAATGGAGCAATCTCGGTTCACTGCAACTTCCACCTCCCAGAATCAAGCAATTCTCTTGCCTCGGCCTCCTAAGTAGCTGGGATTACAGGCACCCACCACCAGGCCTGGCTAATGTTTTTGTATTTTTAGTAGAGACGGGGTTTCACTGTGTTGGCCAGGCTGGTCTCAAACTACTGACCTCAGGTGATCCACCCACCTCTGCCTCCCAAAGTGTTGGAATTACAGGCGTGAGCCACCACGGCTGGCCAACCACTACTCATTTTGTATGTGTTGGCCACAGATAGTTTGTGACTTAAAACAAAGATCATTCATGATTTTGATCAATAATTGAGCATCCACTGGATGTATAGCACAGTAGTGCTGTCAATATGGGGAACAATAGAATGTAATGCATAGCTCTCCTGGATAAACAGAAACTTCCATTTCCAGGGTCATTATGTTGTTCCGTCTCAAGCTTTTTAATAACTCCTATGCCCAATGCCTTGGTGGCTCCCAACAGTGATATGTGTGTAGACAGAGCAGGGCTGGATCGTGTAACAGGCATTTCTAAGTTGTCAAGTAACTTTTTACAAAAGAGGACACAAAAAAGGAGATCTGTCAGCTGCATGCTATTACAATGACTGGGTCTAGTTTATCTCAACACACACAGGCTTTACACTGGTGTTTCCTGGATTCAGTGTCTATTCTCTTCTAACTAGCAGGCTTTTTAAACACAAACTTTTGTTTCTTTGAGACACAGTATTGCTCTGTCGCCCAGGTTGGAGTGCAGTGGTGCCATCTCTGCTCACAGCAACCTTTGCCTCCTGGCTTCAAGCAATTCTCCTGCCTCAGCCTCCGGAGTAGCTGGGATTATAGGCCTGTGCCAACATGCCCGGCTAATTTTTGTATTTTTAGTAGAGACGGGGTTTCACCATGTTGGCCAAGCTGGTCTTGAACTCCTGACCCCAAGTGATCCTCCCGCCTCAGTCTCTCAAAGTGCTGGGATTACAGGAGTGAGCCACCCCGCTTGGCCTTTTGAATTCTGGGCTAATTCTTTCATTTTCTATTATGTGATTATAAGTCTCAATGTAAACCATCTTTGAACTCTAAGACATGTAAGACATCTGACTGTAAGTTACATTTTGGTCAGTTGCACAATTTGACACAACATGCTTCCGCACACCCCCAGTTCCTCCGCCCTTCTGCAAACTTTGCTCTGTGGGGATTACTTATGTAGCACTTTTAAATTAGGTGGCTGGTATCAAAACCGCCACACAGTTTGCCTCCAACATGTCTTCTAGAAGGGAAGGACAAAAGGTTTTTAAAATCATGTTCTAAGAAGTGGGCTACAGAAGCAACAGAGAAGGCGTGGAAAAGTGTCTAGCTGCGTTTTGTTTATAACGGCTGGAGCTTTAAGAGTCAGCAGCTTTAAACGTAAACAAGCTAGGGCCGTCTTGAGCAGGAGACCTACGGCTGATGGGGGTGGAAGGTTAACCTCGGCTTGGAGTTAAGGAAGCGCAGGAGGCGCGGCCTCGGAGGCTTAAAGCTCAGTTCCACTGAGCCCTCGCCGCCGAAGGTTGGCTACAAAAACTGACTCGGCCAAGTGACGTTTACCTCCCTGGAGGTTCGCGTCCACCTGGACATCAGCGGACGGGTCGAGTTTCATTAACGCCGCATACTTGAGAAAAGAAGAGTTTGAAAAGACCACCCAAACTACGTAACTAAATCGAGATCATCCTCCTTCCCTCAGTCTCTTTCTTCCTCTCTTCTACTTTCTTTATCATGCATTTTTTTTTATTTGTATTTTTTCCTTTACTTCAACGCCTACCTCTTCCTTGGCCAACAAATTACCCACCCGGCTCGGGCTCCACCTTTTCGTCTCCAGCGGCTCCGGGGCTCTCTCCACTGTGCCGGGGTCCTACAGTGCGCTCGCCGGGCCGCCAACTCTCACCCTCCCTGCCCCCATAAGCTCCTTCGCTTTCCCAGACAGCGGCTGTCGCGCCCCAGGTCCGGCCTCTCCAGGGCGGCCGCACGCGCCCGCTCCCCAGTCCGGGTACCCCGTCACCCCTCCAGCGCCGCCCAGCGTCGCGTCCCCTAGCGGCCCGGTGCGGCGGCAGCGGTTTCCCGGGTGGCCCGGCCTCCCGAGGGTCGCCCCGCCCCGGCCCAGCTCCGCCCCCGGCCGCCGCTCCCTGATTGGCCGCCCCCCCACCTCTCCCGGGCTCCTCTCCTCCCCCTCGCCCAATGGGCACCCGCACCTGGTCCAAAAATTCCCCCGAGGGGACCGAGGGGGCTCTGCCACTTCAAGCTCCCGCCCGGCGGCGTGACTGCCCCGGCGAGTCGCAGAGCGGGGAGTGGACACGGAGTAGGGAGCGGAGAGGGAAGGAGGAGGAGGAGCAAAGGTGTTGGAGAGAAAACTTCAGAAAGGAACAGGAAACCTGCCGGGGAGGCGGCGGCGGCTGCGGCTTCTCTGGGCGCCCGGGCTGCGCTCTTCGCGGGGTGTCCGCAGCTGCGGCTTGGCCCCTGCCTGGCTTCCCAGGCGCGCACGCACGGCTGAGCCGCGACGCTTGGTGGCTCGGGCCGTGCCCTCCGCCGCGACTCTTGGCCGCTGCCGTCCCGTGCTCCAATCCGCTCGTGCCTCGGCGGCTCCCTGGAGAGAGAGCGGCGAGGGCGCAGGGAAGAGGAGGGACGTCCACTGTGGAACATGAAGCAGCATGACTGATAAAATGTCCAGCTTCCTCTACATAGGGGACATCGTGTCCCTGTACGCGGAGGGCTCGGTCAACGGCTTCATCAGCACCTTGGGGTAAGCGGGAGACGCGGGCTGGGCAGTGCTCGCGCTCCGGGTCCTGGGAACCCGTCCCTGTCCCTCCTCCGCCTCCAGGTCCTCCCGTTGCCGCGTGCAGTGGCCCGGCCGGGCAGGGTCGGCGCCCGCGGACAGTGCCGTGCGCTCGGCTCTCTTGCTCGCCCGCTCGCAGGAAGCTGCCCTGAGAGGCAAGACTTTCTCAGCAACTTCGTAATCTCGAGCTCAGAGACACATCAGAAAGGAGGAAGTGATTCAGAAGCCCGGAGACGGGCCCGGCGAAGAGGTCTTCGCTGGCTTTTCCCTGGGTTGTTTTGATTAAAATGTGTGCTTGTTTTCTCTGGAAGGTAAAACAAAACACCCCCCTTTTCCACCGTTTCTCGCCACCGTTCTCAGTCCCTGGTCTCTCAGTGCCGGGTTTGAAAGAGCAGTCGATAAAAGTCCGTGGCCTTGGACCTGAGATTCAAGCGATGTGGTGAGCCGAAGTGTGGCGTTGTCCTGCGGGAGGAGCTCACTGTCCCCTCTTCGCTGGAGCAGTTTCCTTTTGGCCTTGCCGAACGAGGACTCGCCCCACCAGCCTGGGCAGCCCTAGGGGCATCCGCAGCGCTGTGACCCTTGGACGTCTCTGAGGGCTTCCTGGGTTCTAGAACTCAGACCTGCTATCTCCCCTTCCCAGGCCTTGGCCCACTGAAATGCTGAGCCTCTCTTGGAATTTAGCCAAGTGAAGAGTTCTTGAGATTCGAGTTGGATGGGGAAAAAAAAAAGTATATATATATATATATATATATATATATATACACACACACACACACACACACATATATGTATATATTAATGTTTATGAATGAGGGAAATATATAAATATGTTTATGTATTTTATGTATATGATACATATATATATATATAAACAGTGTGCTAAATGGTTAAATAGGACTTCCTTGTTTTCTCTCTGTTCTAATTGGAAATAGCAGTGTGCAGTTTAATTGCTCGCTGCAGTATATTTTGATGCACAGGAAATGTTTTGTTACCTCATTTGAGCACTTAGATCCCCCCGCCCCACATTTCAGGCTGTGGAACTGGTGTTTCCACTCCTATCTGGCTATGGTTTTCAGCTGTTAAGCTTTGAGGCAGATGACTTAACCTGCAGTGTCCCTGGACAGTGACTTTGAGCTGTGTTGTAACGGAGTGCTGCCTACTAAACACTGGGACATGGAAATCACCAGTGCTTCCACAGTTCCTGTTACTTGTGCATTCCCCCTAATGAGTGAAAGAAGGGAGGTAGATTTAATTCAGTCCCTTTTCCATCAGTGTTACTTTCTTATGCAACTAAAGTGTGGAAGGAAAACCATGTTAGTGCCAAGGGCTTCTGCTGGATTTGTGAATCAGGAGCTACCACTGTTTTTGAGATCATTCATGATACAAGTTCAGTTTCTGGGCCCCCTGCAACATTTTGCAGGTGGCCTCTGCTGCTCTTCACCCTCCGTAGACTCTCCAGGTGTGTGTGTGATGTAGTAGTTAAGCAGAGGGGGTTCCATGGACAGAATACTTGGGGTTTGAATTCTGGCCCTTCCACTTGTAAACCTTATGACCTTGGGAAAGTTACATAATCTCTCTGTGCCCCAGTCTCCTCAATTCTACAAATGGGAATAAGCATGGTTTCTACCTCATAGGGTTGTGGTGAGAAAGAAGAGATGAATATATGTAAAGTGCTTAGCATGGTACCTGGCGCATTATAAGCACTTATGTGTTAGCTATTGTAGTAATTATCATTGCCTTGGTGACTGTGAGCCGTAGTGTGGACAAAATAATAACAAGGACTAGGAATAGAGTACAAAACCTAGACAAAGAAAAGAACTTTTTTTTAGTGTCTTATTCAGCAAAGGTATGCTTATAGATAACTTATAAAACAAATACCAGAAGGACTACAGATGGCAAATCAGGAAGCTACAAGTTTAACAGTTATGGAGTCGACCCTGATCATTTTAGAGATTAGGAATTGAGGTTAAGAGAAACGAAGCTACTAACCCAAGAAACAGAGGGCATTGATGCCAAAAGCTGGAACTCTAACCCTGTCTCCAGATTTCCAGCCAAGAGTGCTTTTCTTTGGTTATATATAATAATCTTTAAACCTTGAGAAAAATAAGCTAGAATAACCTTTAATGTACAATATACATTTGTGTAAATATTTCTAATTTGTATTCAATTTTCTTGTTGGTGTTTTGAAGGTTGAGCTTCCTTAGTATGTTTTTGTGCCATATATTATTTTTCTGTTAATGAACTGAGTCTTGTTAAAGTTAATATGACAAAGTCTTCGGGCTGCTGGATTCTAAGGTGAAGAAGGGTCTTTAGAAATGCTGCCACTGGACTGGGCACGGTGACTCATGCCTGTAATCCCAGGACTTTGGGAGGCCGAGGCAGGCAGATCAGTTGAGGTCAGGAGTTTGAGACCAGCCTGGCCAACATGGGGAAATGCCATCTCTGTTAAAAATAAAAAAATTAGCCGGGCATGGTGGCGGACGCCTGTAGTCCCAGCTACTTGGGAGGCTAAGGCAGGAGAATCACTTGAACCTGGTAGGCGGAGGTTGCAGTGAGCCGAAATTGCGCTACTGCACTCCAGTCTGGGGGAAAGAGCGAGACTCTGTCTCAAAAAAACAAGCAAAACAAAACAAAAAGAAATGCTACCGTTGGTGAAACTTGGTGCTTTGATTGGATATTCTTTTCCTGAGATAGACTGCTCAGAGTTTCTTTTTCTAGTACTCTAGAAGTCAGGGGTTGGATATGACCGTGCCTCCCTCCTGGTACTTGCTTCTGAACATCTTTTCAAAGAGCAGTTATAGTAAAAGTCATCGCTGATGTGCCCTGATGCAGTTTCCTGGCTTTCACTGGAATAGTGTCCAAAGGATACTCAAGGGAAGCATGGTGAGCCTAGGACTTAAATGGGCCCTGGGTGGAGTGAATCTATTTATAGAACAATTAAGACAAACTGTAAAATTAAAAATGCCGTGGTCCAGCCTGGGAAACATACGGAGACCCTGTCTGTACAAAAAATATAAAAAATTAGCCAGGTGTGGTGGTGCACTCCTGTGGTCCCAGCTGGCCCCAGCTACTTGGGAGGCTGAGGTGGGATGATCACTTGAGCTTGGGAGGTCAAGCCTGCAGTGAGCCACAATCACATCATTGCATTCCAGCCTGGGTGACAGATAGCCCCTGTCTAAAAAAAAAAAAAAAAAAAAAAAAAACACAACGGTGCTGTGAAATCTCACTTGACAAATGTGCATCAAGTTTTAATGATGCATAAAAATATAGCACTTTTCTACTTTGCAAACACGGCAGTGCAGAAAGCATTAATTTTTTATAATAAAAAATTGGGAATATCAAAAAATTAAACCTGAAATTATTATTTTATTAATGAACATTTCCAAATTCTGCTGTATGTGTGCTATGCAAATAATGTTGCAAACACTTGAAAGTTGCTTTCAGAAAGCATCTGGCACCTCATTGAAAAAGGCTCATGTAATTTCTGACGAAACCATGCTGTTCATTTGCTATTCTTCTAAATATTAAATTTAAAATTCATATAAGAGAGAAGAGGAAGCTTAGGAAGAAAGAAATGAATTGATTTTCCTGACCATAAGTCTTCCATCTGAACAGAACTATGTGAGCTCTTGTGCCCAGGGATGTCGGTTTGCCCACGGCTCCTTGCAGTCCTCTACTCTGTACCTCCAGCCATCAGAGTGCGTATTTCTGTGGCAGTTGTTAGATAAGATGCTAAAACTGACTTTTGGCTTTGATAACTAAACCAAAATACTTTATCCTAATTTAAACTGAAGTATTTTGTGCTAAAAATCTCATCGATTTTTATTAACATGTGGGTGGTTTTCAAAGTTGGGGATTCCGTAAATAAAATAATTTCCTAAAATTCAGGGGTGAAAAAGTTTTAGCTGTTGAGAAATATTCCCATTTAATTTCATAATGGCTTAATTAAGGCCATTTGATGCTTTTATCCTGAGAAGTCAGACTGATTCATGATTTTGTTCCTTCTGCTTTCTGTCTGTGACATTGCAGTTTTTAAATGGTCGGTCGTGCTTGATTTTAGTACTTTCTTAAGGCTGTAGACTCACATTGGGCTCAGATTTTTAGGAGTTGTAAAACTCATGGGAACATATGTCTGTGCCACGTGAAATCTTATCTAGGTACATGTTGGGGTAGCACCCCCTATTTTTTACCTCGGAGTACAGTTGGTAGGTATTTTATTTTGAAGTTGGTTTTAGGGCTGTGAAACCAAAGCAGAGTGGTAGTTGTGATTTCTCATTGTCTTGTTGTGGGGTCATTATATGTACACATCCTGCGTCAAAGACACAGTACATCTCTCTAGCTGAATTTTCTTTCTCTTCTGTTAGTTGGAGGTCTGTTGTTCCAGGTCTGCTGCTAATTAGCCTTGTGGCCTTGTTCCTATCGTTTATTCTTTTTTCATGTCCGCATGTCTTCCTGAAAACTAAAAAGGGGAGAAGATGCTGTTGCCCATACCCCTGGGGGTATTATAAAAGCAAGTGATAGAGACAGAAAGAAAAGATTTCTTTTTTAGAAAATTGCTAGGAAAATCTACATTATGCTTATATTTTTGCATGTCAAATTGCACATTTTCTTCAAAGGCGTATGAATTGTTAAAGTGAATCAGATTGGAGACATTGACACTGTATATATTTAGCCGAAATTTATTCTACTGTCATATTAAAAACACAACGGGGGAGCTAAAAATTAGACTAAAAGTTTTTGATTTCCATTTTAGCTCTTCATCCATGCATGATGGTTAGTAGCATGATGCTTTTTCAAAGTCAGCTTAGCAAGGTGTTTAATGAGAACTGAGTTTACACAGTATTTCAAGATAATGAATAGACATTTATTTGCAAATAAATCTTGTTTGATTTTAATGTTTAGCGTGTAAATATGTTTTGGATGATATATATTTTTACTATGTAGTTGCTGGGTATTTTTGCCATAAGGTAATGAATTTTTCAGCTGGAAAAGTCATGGAGTTTCACTATATTTGAGTTTACCAGGCCCCTCTTGGAGGCCCCTCTGACTGGAGATGTGGGAGGATTTTCTTAGGCTTAGTGACCCAGCTTCTCAGGTTGATTTATCAGTCTGTTTGTGTAAAATTTGAATGCCCTAGTTGCAAAGATTGGCATTTCTCCTTTTTTCCCCATTATCCTTTACCTGTATTTACTAGATGTTTCCGAATCTTGAATTGTTGCAAGCCAAGTTACAGTTATTGTTCTTTTCTCTGTGTAAGTGCAAAGGGGCCTGGTTTGTATTTCCTAATTTAAAATTTCATCTAAAGAATCAATGTAAGAAATACTTGTATTGACTTATGGACAGTTGCTTTAAATCCCATTGGGTGAAGATGGTGAATATATTTTAAATAAACTATTTTTATTTTCTACTGGCACGTCTTAAGGTTATAGTTTTTGTGTCTCTTTTAAAGGTGAAGGAGGAAGTCTTGGGATATGCTGTCCAATTTCGAATGTAGTGTTGATTGTCCCTTTCTCCTCCTTCCATTTTTTCTATACTAGGATTTGTCTTTCTTGTTGCTGCCACATCTGATGACAACAGATATTCACATTTCTGTGTACATCAACTTGACCAATGGTCAGGTACCACAGAGTAGGGACT